GGGGCTGGCTGGCATGTGGTGCTGGGGGATTGAACCGCGGTCCCTGATGCCTTGCCAAGCTTGTACTAAGTAGGTGCTTTAGACCACTGAGCCATCTCTCCAGCCCTTATTTTGTCTTTTGAGAGAGTCTTGCTTTCTTCTGTAGGCTGGCCTTGACAAAATCACTATATAACCTAAACTGACCTTGAACTCATGGTGATCCTCCTGCCTCAGCCTCCCAAGATTACAGGCATGTACCACTGTGGCTCACTCCAAAAATCTTAATCTTTCAAGACTCCCATCTCAACTTCTTAGTTTCACAACCAACCCTAACAACCACATAATTCCTTGAAATAAATTACTTAATATATTTCCCTTACTGGTTCTGCTTCTTTGATGGTATCCTAATTGGTACAACTGATATAGGGACAAAGCATAACTCCCAATCTGCTAGAGGTCAGACATCAAGTTCATGTTCCCCAAAATTGAAGAATGAATGTTAAGGGAACAGCAGAAATCAAGAATAGAAAATTTTTATTGAGAGATGTAGCTCCTGAAAAACAGGAGGGGACCTGAAAGTGGGTGGCCACAGCCCACTTCTGTGAGACAGTTTATAGAGCAAAATTAGGAGAAGGGTACAATGTGGGTCAAAACTATGATCAACCTTTAGGATTGCAAGTATAGCTGCCTAGCTAATATTAGTTCAATTGGAAGTGGGCATGTAGCAAGGGTACAGGGAAAGAACAAAGACATTTAGGGGGAAGGGACCAGCCTAGATGCTCTGGGTACCCAGCTGGACTTTATTGGACCAGGAAATACCAATTATACTATAATTTCAAGTTACTGCTTATCAGAAGCATCCATACCGTTGCATCTTTCTCTTGACTCTTGTTTTTCTTCAGATGCGCCGCCCACAGCCACGATTCTTTTTGGTTGTTGTTCTTGTTGACTTCCTTGACAGCCCAGTCTTTTCTGACTATATATTAATTTCTATCTAAATGTAGCGGCCCATAACAGAATCACCTAGCGCAAAGTGAGGCCCACAGTTAGATGCTATTTGTGAATATCATATCGCTACTACCACTAAGGGAACGCATAACATATGCCCTGAGATGGTTTTCTGCTAGATTCCAGGGAAACCGCGCGGAATAAGATAGGCAGTTTACCCCACCGCAGGGTATATTAGGACATTGGGTGATGATGGCAAGAAGAACTGAAGCTCTTGCTATTGAAGTCCACTTGTCCTCTCTGGGCTGGAGGCATTCAACGAAGATTTGAGTGTGAGTAGAAAGCTACCGTTTGGTGATAGTGGGACAGCTCTGACAGTATGATTCAGAGACTGGCGGAGGAGGACCAAGATTAAGAGCCTGACTGTGGGCTTTAGGCAGTCATGATGTGTACCATGCTTCAATGACCTGTGAATGCTTGGCACCAAAAGACTATGGCTGGTGAATGTTTGTGGAAGGAAATATAAAAAGGGATAGTTTAATTAAAGTTGTCGCGCACAGTTCAGGAGGTAAAATGAGAATAGCAGCCACAATTCACCCAGCGGGACCTGGAGGGACGGACTTTTCATTCCGCGACCTAGGTTTCCGCCGGAACTCTGTCTATATTGCTCCCTTCCGGCGCGAAAGGGGCAGAACTTCCGGCCAGTTTCCGTGGTAAGGAGGTGAGGCGCAGGGAGGTGAGTGCGGCCTAGTGGCCTCTTTTTTGACCTCTGATTTCGTTTTGCGTGTCCCTTCGTGGGGTGTGTGTGTGTGTGTGTGTGTGTGTGTGTGTCCCTTCGCGGTGTGTGCGGCCACCTCTCTTCCTGCCTCGGAATTGCAGAGTGCCTTGAATTAAGCCCGTGTTACCGTGACGGCAGCGTACAAGTCCGGGGGCCGGTGGTGGGACGCTGGTGTGTCTGGAGGCGACAGTGTTGCCAGGGCTTCCCGGCACAGAGGGAGTAGCGTCCTCTCCCTCCCTCCGTCCCAAAATTCTAGAGCTCAGGCCCTTACCCTGCGGGACTTGTTCGACCCCAACCTGAGCCTTTGTTTCTCGTGTACAAAATGCATATTATATTGTTATTAACTAAATATTTACTAAGTGTCTGACATGTGCTAGAGATACAGAACGACTCAAAGTTCTTGGTGACAGATGTCAATCAAACATGCAGAATTATAACTGCAATTAAAGTGGAAACGTACAAAGTACACACCCAGAGTGTATCACACTGAGCTAGAGGAAGCGTTACTGGGGAGGTGAATATTGAGCTGAGATCAGAAAAATGATTTAACAGAATGTGGTGGGAAGAGTTCGCTCTAGTCTGAGGGCCTGCAACAGAGTTTGGGTGTGGGGGAGCACAGCATGAAACAAGATTGAAGGACTGCCAGGAGCTAGACCAGGAAGACTTAGATGATGGTAAGAAATTTGGTTTACATAGAGCCACATTGGAAGCCACTCAGAGGATGAGAGTATGGCATGATTAGGTTGGCATTTTGGAAAGGTCGTTCTGGCTATTGGATAGAGAATGGATTAAGGGGCCAGCACTTTCTGTGTGATAGTTTGGATTACGGAAGTGGTGGAGAGTGTGCTTAGATGTGACTTTCTGCGTTCCAGGACTGTGAGGAACTCACAAAGCTGTACATGAGGTAGGTTGGTACACTGCAGAGTCCTGTACACATTCAGTAAACCTTCTCCAGCCTCGTCTAGTGCCAGGCCATGTACCAGCTACTGGATGTAGAGTGAAAAGAAATGAAGGATGGTAGAATTAGAATTAAAGAACTACATAGATGCCACCAGGGAAGATGGCTAATTGATGAGCAGTTATTTTTTATGGAATTTCTTTTCATTTAACAAATGTTTACTAAGTACTCTGAATTCTAGGTTATGTATAGGAAAAAGAAGATAGACATAGTTATTTTTCATTAGTACATATTTGTTATACATATTGATCATGTTCATCATAGGAAATTTCTACCTATCTGTAATATGTCTTCTTTTTTTTCCCCATTTCCCTTTCCTCTCTTCAACCTTCCTCTTCTCTCCATTTACACAAGCTTTGTTTCCATTTTTTCCTTCCCTTCTTCCCCACTTCCCCTTCCCATTTGAACATGTTCTTCTTACTTCCCAATAGAAGATACACATATTTAGAGTAGTATCTTTATAAACTTTGGGGGCTTTTAACTACAGTAACATACATTTTATGTTATGACCAAGTGTGCATACAAACACAGACTTTCAGAAAATAGTATTATTCCTGAGATAGGAGTGTAGCCTGGGAGTGGGGCACTGACTTAGCATGTATGAGGCTGTGGTTCAAATCCTCAGTGCCACAAAAACAACACAAGCAACAACAGAAATCCTTATTATTTGTTTTTTTCTTTTCTTTTTTCTTTTTTGGTAGTGGGTATCAAACTTAGAACCTTGTGCTTGCCAAGCAGGCACATATGCTGCTGAGCTATCTCCCTGGCCCAGAAATCCTTATTATTTGTGACATATTCTGATATTACATTATTTTAATGTAAAAGAAATAATTGTAGTCAGACCTTCAAAATTGATTCCTTAACCCATTAATAAGTTGTAATTTGCAGTTTATATAGTGATTTTTGGCTAAAAATAATAAATTATGCTCCTAACATTTTTGAAAAAAATATTCTTTCCACAGTTTAGTTTGTTAAAATAAGAGTAAACCAAATTAAACAGTTGGTTATTCTGTTTGTAAAATTTTGAGGTAATATTTATATAGCTAGATTGAAAATGTCTGAAGGGTAGTAACTGTCTTACTCTGTGGATTCTGTTTTCTTCTTTTGCTGTCTTTTTTTTTCCTTTTTTTTTTTTTGGTATTTTAGGGAAGGGTTTATAGGATATTCAGGGTCTCACTAGTAGATCGGACTCTTAGTGATCCGTCTGTTTACAGTCTCCCAAGAGCTGAGATTATAGGCGCGTGCCACCACACCCAGTCTCAATTGCTGTCTCAGCAGCGCTTTAATCCACTGAGCTCTTTGGCCCTTCTTTTCCTGTCTTTTTGAGACAGAGTTTCACTCTTGCAGTTCAGGCTGGGCTTGAACTTACTTTGTAGCCCATGCTGGCCTCAAACTCACAGCAATCCTCCTACCTCAGCCTCTCAAGGTGTGTACCACCATGCCCTGCTGGGTATTTCTTTTGAATACCAGCAAAGATTGTAGCATAGAACTTGTTGAATATTGATGGAATTGAATAAACAGTTGACTAAGGACCAGGTGAGGTCATTGATTGAATTTAATGAGTGCGTATTATAACAATTCTTGCAAATACCAACTGAGGCAGCATCTGCCTGCAGAGGTTGAAGTTGAGATGTAGACGAAATAAGCTAAGGTCTTTTTTTTTTTTTTTTTTCCATTTTATGTATTTGGTACAGGATCTCACTATGCAGCTCAGACTTGAGGTGATCCTCCTGTTTTCAGCCTCCCCAGCTCTGGGATTACAGGCATGTGCCACTCCACCTGGGTGGGGCAGGGCCTATGCAGCATGCAGGACTGGGGATTGAACCCTGGTCCCTGCGCTTGCCAAAGCAGGTGCTTAGTCTGCTGAGCTATCTCACTGGCTGTTGAGTTATCTCGCTGACCCTAGGCCTTTCTTCTTTCATGCTGATCCTAGGTCAGCCCTGCCATGAGTTCATTCCAGGTAGATGGTCCACAACTGTTAATGATTGTGGCTGTTTGGAAAGTTGTTTCACTTCTAGAGGGTTTTTTTGTTTTTTGAGTTTGTTTTTTGTTGTTGTTGTTGTTGTTTGTTTGTTTTTGTAAAAGGGAGATTTGTGTTTGAAAAGCTTTTTACTCCCAAGTTTTTCATAAATTTTAGATGCTAATGGAAAATTGACTATGTATATGATTTAATCATCCTTCCCAAATTTTCTAGGAGTCTCTAGTGATAGGTTTTGGACAGAATTCTAGCTTTAGATGACTTTGGCATAGTTATCATTTAGAACGGACTATGTAGGGGTGCCGGGGAGATGGCTCAGTAGAATAAGTACTTGCCTGGCAAGTGGAAGGGTGTAAGTTCAATCCCTGGTTCTGCCAAAAAAAAAAAAAAAAATGGACCATGCAGACTTTCTCACCCTTGTCCTCTGTTGTGAGCAACATCTGGGAGTGGAAACTGAGTGAACAATAGAAAGAACACTGACCTGCAGGGACAGAAACACAGAACTTGAATTTGGGTCTTGTATATAGGCTTTGCGCTTATCACTTTGGTGTCTTTGTAGGTGTGAAGTGAGTGTTCTTTCTGCTTAAATCAAAACATAGAATTCCTCTTTTCTCTGATCCTCATTTTTCTCATTTATAAAACAGACATAGGATGTGACGAGGATTAAGGGGAATAATAATGTCAGGGGGTTTGATTCAATATATGGCACATAGAGGTATGTGGTATTTGGTATTTATTTATTTATTTATTTATTTGGTGGAACCAGGGATTGAACTCAGGCGCTTGTACTTGCCAGGGAAGTGCTTATTCTACTGAGCCATCTCCCCGCTCCCTATGTCACATAGAGAATGCTCACCAAAAGCAGCAACTTTCCACAAGTTCTGATTTAATTAATTAATTAACTGGTACTAAATACTAAAGCTCATGGTGAGCTACATTTCCAGCATGCTTGTTTGTTTTTTGTTTTGGTTTTATTTGATTTTTTTTTTTTTTTGGTTTTATTTGATTTTTTTTTTTT